GGGTGTCTCGGCTAGGCCGAGACACCCCTGGGGTGTCTAGGCTTTTCCTAGACACCCCCGGGGTATTTCGACACGCCGGGACTCCGTTTAGGTGTTTCAGTTGCTTTCCCTGTAGATTCTTCGTCCGTACTCGGATTTGAGTGATTCCGGGTGCGTTGGATGCTTGACGAAGAGTTCGATCCGCTCTGGTGGTTGGATTATCTGTAGAGTGGTCGAGGCATGAAGGGCGTTATCCTTTTTGCGAACAGTGTCGGGCTTTCCGATTGATCCGGGTCTTCGTTGTTCCGAAATCTCGTAAGCTCACGTAGCTCGCCGACTCACTTCAATCATTCATCGACGTCAATTGGACTCATGTGGATCGGATGGTGATGTTCATTGTCGCTCGTTAACACTGAACCGTTTGTGGAGACCTATAGGTAATTTTCGATGCCTACACAGACAGCAGCTCAGAGAGCTGTCTGCAACAGCAGCAGCTCTTTTGAGCTACTACTGCAGTCAGCAGCTCAAAGAACTGCTGCTGCTGCTGTTGCAGACATCTCTTTGGGCTGCTGCTGCTGTGCAGTAATTAGAAAAAGGGTAAAACCCCCCTATTTTATGTTTGTGCACATGAACGTACACTACGAATTCAAGTCCAATAATATACACTCATACCCCATTTCTCGTTTCGAATGCCTCGAACGAGAAATTTGCTAAATTGTCGACATATCGACCAAAACTCGGGTTTTAATATTCATTTATCTATTTTATATGGTTATTAACTTTAGTGTATGCAGGTCAAATGCAAAAGAAAAGAGGGCGTGGTTATGAGAATTAGTAAATATTGATTTCTGATTACTAGACGAGGATATAGTGTGTTCATATATGGTAATGTCAATTTTCCAGCATGATTTAATACTGACAAACACTCCCCTTTTTATTATTGTGTGCACCTAATCTCTTTGATAGTAATTATGTTTCCTATGAAATCACCATTATGAAGACAATATGTGATATTACGCCAAAATAAAAGTCGACGACACGATAAAAATGACCAAACAGCAGCTCCCTGAGCTACTGCTACTGCTGCAGACAGCAGCTCAGAGAGCTGTCTGCAACAGCAGCAGCTCTTTTGAGCTGCTGCTGCAGTCAGCAGCTCAAAGAACTGCTGCTGCTGCTGTTGCAGACATCTCTTTGGGCTGCTGCTGCTGTGCAGTAATTAGAAAAAGGGTAAAACCCCCCTATTTTATGTTTGTGCACATGAACGTACACTACGAATTCAAGTCCAATTATATACACTCATACCCCATTTCTCGTTTCGAATGCCTCGAACGAGAAATTTGCTAAATTGTCGACATATCGACCAAAACTCAGGTTTTAATATTCATTTATCTATTTTATATGGTTATTAACTTTAGTGTATGCAGGTCCAACGCAAAAGAAAAGAGGGCGTGGTAATGACAAGCCAAAGTGGGGAAAATCTGGCAAGGAGTCTATTGCATTCACAGAGAATTATATACACTCATACCCCATTTCTCGTTTCGAATGCCTCGAACGAGAAATTTGCTAAATTGTCGACATATCGACCAAAACTCGGGTTTTAATATTCATTTATCTATTTTATATGGTTATTAACTTTAGTGTATGCAGGTCCAACGCAAAAGAAAAGAGGGCGTGGTTATGACAAGCCAAAGTGGGGAAAATCTGGCAAGGAGTCTATTGCATTCACAGAGGATGGATTGTGCGTTGACCCTAAGGATGCCCAGCTGTTTAGGTACTTGGGTAGCCTAGCAAAAAATTCAATGTTTCTTCCCCTCAAGCCTATAGATTGGCGGTTGCATGATGATACTACCATGGATCATGTGTGGAAAAC